TACTTTGTACGTGTGTGATACATAAAGGCCACACGAGAAAGAGAGATTCGAGCCAAGGGATGAAACGCGTGGCGACGGCGACGACGATGATCGAGGGTGTGTCGAGTCCTGCGTGCGCGCAGGATAAAAGTCTCTCGCACGCGAAAATTAATAAACGAATCTCATACAGTGCCACGGATATATAGGAGGAGGCCATTGTCATTTACGGCTCCGATCTCCACACGCACACGCAGCATTCGTTTATACATCGTATCGAAAAACTTATCGTTATATGTATATCCCTCTTTCTCACTTATGTCTATATAAGTTGTGCTTTGAGTGCACGGGGAGGGTCGCTCGAAGGCAGCAGCAGCAGCGACAGCAGTCGTACAGGCGCCGCTTGTAATACTTACCCCGAGCTTTCTTATATCTTTATATCGTATCGGCCAAAAATATAGATATTATATACTCGAAGCTGGTGGTGGTTGTGATTTATACGTCGATTACTCGCGCTTCGGCCGTATACACATTAATATTTTATATAGGAAATCTGCTGCGCTTTTATCGTCACGTATTTATTATTATCTGTATCTATCTATATATTTGGCAAAGAGTTGCGCCTAGCCACAATTAATCGTTTACAGAACAAATCTTATATTGTTTCTTTTCTACAATATATATTATTTTATATATTATATACGATGCGTGCACTCGTGCGTTTATTGCCAGTCGAAGAAAAAGTAACGAGCTCGTATATATTATTACTGCGCGTACACATATCGAGGCTATATTTCGCAGCACACATATAAGAGAAAGAAGGCGAGAAAATGTATACAGGATTGCGGCTATCGATTCTCTGTACATCAAACGCCGAGCCGTAGTAACAACTATACGCAGTCTAGCTACTACTACTACTAGAGGGCCAGTCTTCGAGAGAAGAGAAAGAACGAGAGAGAGAAGTGCGTGAGGAAATTGTTGATTAGGCAGGCGCGGAAAAGGTTTTGCTGTATATATACCGAAGGGCGATCGCTTCTTGCTGCTGCTGCCGAGACGTCGAAACGACCTTTCTCTGCCTCGCGCAAAATTAGCTGCTTCGAGAGCGATTGCCCCCTGCGTGCAGCACATCCTAGTGTGTATATGTATATGCGAAGAGGAGCTGCGAGAGCGATGTTTGCCTAACGTGTCGAGCATGCGTGAAGAAAAAAAGGGAAAGAAAAAGAAGAAAAAAATTATCGAAGCGAGTGAGAGCTAGCTGCTGCTTCTGCTGCTAATTAGCAATATCCATGCGCGCTCGAAATACAATAATGCGTGAAGCTGTCTGGCGCGCGGTTAAACGCGCCGAGTAATACAGTGCAGCCACTCCCCCGCTTCGTTCGATCCGTTTTGTATCCGTCGATACTGGCGGAGCAAATAATTCATTCCGCGCTAGCCTGTAATATATCGCACACACACATAGCATAGCTATCATTTCGCTCGACTTATGTGCGCGTACGGATGTATAATCATCATCGTATATATATCGTTAATCGGTTGCCAATATATAAGCTAATATATATACAAGCGATCGAATCTAATGTGGGGTAGCTGTGGAGAGAACCCACTTTTTTTTACGCATTAGGCCAATGTAAACAGCGCGTGTAAAGGCAGTGGCGGTACACTACTTATAGCAGGATACTCGTCTACGCACTTATATACATGTATATAGGATGATGATGATGACGATGCCGCAGACGATAGGCGAGAGTGCGAAAAGCCCAACGGAGCGTACCCGGTAATATCGACAAAAAGCTTGTTAATCAATCAGTACTGCAGAGTCCTTATGAGCGTGTCTCTATGTGTCTGTGTGTGGTTCACGCGGGGGGTGCTCAGCACCCCGGATAAAATAAAAAAACTAGCTACAACCCCGCATACTATAAGTAGTAGTAGTAGTAGTAGTAGTCGGAGCAACTCGAGAAATAAAGAAGTGCGGCGGCATATAAGCTGCTGCTGCTATGCTGTATAAGGCACCGCATCCATAAAAAAATACACCCGCCCGATCCTCGTGCGGGCCGATTTTTTTTTCTCCACACACCCTCGCGCGCTTATAATACACGCGTCCTTAGCGATAGATATATATACGCATTATATACGGCATTATGTGGCACAATCGAGACAAATAGTCTAAGTATATAAGCTATTATATTATAGCCCCACTTATAACTGATAAAAGAGCGAAAGCAGCGACCTGTTCGTCAGTTGCTGCTGCCGCTGGCAGAGAGAGAGATGAGAAAATAAAAAGAGGAAGACCTCGTGATGCTTTACTTCTTTATTTTTTCTTCTTCCCCGATTTCTTTTTCGCTATCGCACGCGAACCAGATACACAGTGAATTTTCTCTGTCTATCTATTTCTCTCTAGTAGTATATAGCAGCGTCATGCGGCCATGCTGACGTACATGAATCTCGACTTAGAGAGAGAGAGAGAGAGAGTATAATAATGGCGTGTGGACAGTTTGTGTCATTTAACGACGAGAACTTTTGCGGACTATCGAGCGAACTTTTTCCGATTGCACACGGCCTTATATACAGCTTGCCTGAATCTGTCCGTCAGTCAGTGTGTCTAGATGTGTACGTGTTTGTGTGCGAAATGAGAGAAAGAGAGAGAAAGAGAGAGAGAGCAAAAGGGGAGAGAGATAAAGAGAGATGCGCCGTCGCAATCAACTGTGCCGCTGTTGGTGTTGGTGTTGGTTGGCGGCGGTGGCGGAGAGTAAAGCAACAGCAGCCACGTCGAAGCCACGTCCTTGTTGGCAGGCTCCACAGAGCAAGGGTGGAAAAAAGGACCAACAAGGGGGTTGGTGCGTGTGTACGTGTGTATATGCGTGGGGGTTGGGGTGGGCGACGAGAGCGGCGCGTTGATCGCGAGCTAGAATACGAGACAGAGAAAACGGTGGACGTCACGCGCGCAGTGTATATACCAGAGGTATCCCGGGCTCTTGTGTATATACACTACCAGCAGAGAGATAGCCATTGTGGCTGGCCGTAAGGGGGTGTCTGGCGCACGAGATAAAATCCCGACGATCTCTCGTTGTGCAAGGAAAGGCAGAAGCAGTGAGTAGTAAGTGCAGAAAAAAAAATCAGCCGATTTCTCGGGCGCGCGCTGCGGAGATCGGCTGCGAATATAGATGTACGTCGTGATCGTGGATGTCAGCGATTCCTCGCGGGGCTTTGCGAGCCGATCGTAAAAAAAAAACAGTATCGAAAGTCGTGCGTCGTCTCGAGTGTTATAACTACTCGACATGATCTTCGAAACTTACTTTTGGCGATTCAAGGGATGTAACGATGGAGGGTAGTTCTATGTGACGCTCGGTGAAGAGTACGTATAAAAGAGAGGGATTGCCTTGACCCACGTGGGTGAGCACATAAAGCACATTGGCGGTATTTACGGGTTCGTGCACTATATGTACTCGTTCGCAAGGTCATGTACGGACGCGAGACGAAGGAAATCCCAATCGCGACCACTACTGCTCCGAATGCGGCCTGCGCGATCTCTCTAACCATATCTATATAGGTATACACAGTGCATGTGTGGGATAGGTATGTTTTGGCTGCGGCGCTGCAGCTATATACTCGTGTGTATATATATAGGCAGCGGCAAACACAGCACGAAAGGGGGAAAGCACTATACGAGTCGTGTGCGAGACTTGGCTCACGCACGAGAGAGGGTAAAAGCGGCGGCGGCGTCGGCGGCGACGGCAACGTTATCGAACCGGCGATTGCTGGCGCGCTTGCGCGACCGACCGACCGACGACTTGCAGGCGAGGTTTCGTCGTTCTTGTGTATATCGCGAGCGAGCTGCGAAACAGTTTGGCCTGTGCCGGGAGCCGCTCTCGGTCGCGCCGAAGCGTGTGTGCACCGAACGGAGTGCGTCGAAAACAGTGCGTGCGAAAAAGAGAGAGAGAGAGAGTGAAGACTGGTGTTAGACGCAATTAAAAATAAATAACAATAGTGATAGTAATAATAAAAATAAAAGAGTTGTCAAAGCTGGTCGGGGAGTGAGTGTCGATGTTGGCAGACGTCACAATGTGTCCGCGATAAATAAGTGCCAGTGTGTGTGTGCTTTTTTTAAACAAAATTTAATAAAAAACAAAAAAAATCTCAGTGGTACCGTGTGCAGTGCGATCACCGACCGAGTGTTTTTTTTTTTTTTTTGTACATTTCGCCCGCGAGAAGTTGGCGCCGCCTCGTCCTATACCCGAGGTGATATCGACGAGTGGAGCGCGAAAACACACATCGAACGCCGATAGACCCCCCCTGTGCGGGACAAAGGTGAGCTTTTCTCTCAGCCTCTGCTGCTGCTGCTGCCAGACGCTCGCTCGCTCGCTCGCCCGAAATCAATTAAAGCAATTACGCAAGCGCGAGAGACGGAGAAAAAGAGCTGCAACTAGACTGCTGCTGCTGCTGCTGTTGCGGCGATCGAACGTCGCACGCAGAAATACAGCGAGCGAATATAGACTCGGAATTGCCGGCTGCACGATATATAGGGACCAAAATTACGACAAGCGTAAACATACTAAATGTTACAAAGTGTTTTTATACGATGAGCTGACCTGCAATTTTTTGCTCACATACCGTACTCGGCTCGTTACATTACGTGCACCACCTTCTCGTACACACATTTCGCGCTCGAGTATAAACTCGAGCGCGCGATAAATCCGCTCTGATAACGAAACCGCGGCGGCGCCGATATATACGCCGTTTTTCCGGCCTCAAGAGCTCTCTCTCTCTCTCGCGATAACGCACAAAATGTGTGTATATATGACATACCTGTCGCACGCAACGTATATACACAAACACTAACGTCAATGACGTTTAACTCTTATCGAATCGTGTATATATGTATGTATACGGTCGCGACCCAATATATAATTGTTGTTAGTCCTTCGCAGTTAAAGCGCGTGAAATATTTTTTACTATCCCACGCGTATATATATCACTAACGAACTTGAATTTACTAAACGATGTTTTTCGCTCTCGATTTTTTGCAGGAAGGATGACCAACACGCAGAGCATCGAGGCCGTGGCAGCCGGACCCCATCACCACCACCACCAGGTCGAGAGCGTCCAACTCACGGAGCTGCGGCCGGTCGAGCAGTCGCGCATCAAGCAGAGCTACGGCGACGACACCGACGACAACTGCAACGACACGAGCAGCGTCGGCACCGACGGCCTCCGCGTGCTCCGCAGCTTCTCCGCTCGACGTAGCTCCCAGGACCAACAGCAGCAGCAGCAACAACAACAGTCGTATCCTCGCAGACGCAAATCCGAGCGTTGGAAGCATCTGCGCGCCGCCTCGCGAGATTTCGGTATCAACAGCGACGAGGGTGACGAAGAGGAGGAGGAGGAGGAGTTGTATCCGCTGGAGACACGACCGACTAGGCAAACCAAGATGGCTAAATACACGATCGACAATTCGCTGCACAGCGACGAGTTCGAGGACGTGGACGAGGTCGACGAGGAGGAGGAGGTGAACGACGAGGACGATCCCTTCTTCGGGGTCAACGGCGACTTTGACTATCTCGATCACAATCCGGACGAGATCTACGTGTACAGGCAGCGAGAGCCCACCAGTCCCCAGAAGCTCAGCAGCGTCGTGGTCGAGCAGGAGCAGCAGCAGCAGCAACCACAACAGCAGTCGCAGCAGCAGCAGGAGGAGGCTTACAAGCCAAGGAGACGAGGCAGGCCGAGGAAGAACAGTTTCACCAAGCAGCAGCAAGCGGAAAGCGACAACAAGAAGAAGCAGCAACCCTCGCGAGAGCAGTCGGAGAAGGAGCTGCAGAGCAAGATCAACGACATAATCGAGGCCAATTGTCTGCTCGAGCAACAGCAGGACAAGGACAACGAGCAAAAGGTCCCGATTCCGACTCAGAGGAGAAAGAGCAGTGGTAGCGACGATCCCGCGAACGAGAAGAAGTACAAGTGCAGCGAGTGCGAGGCGCGCTTCAAGGGCAGCGGCGGTCTGCGCAACCACTACAAGGTCACCCACGCCCGGGGCCCGCTCTTCAAGTGCGACGAGTGCGGCAAGGAGTTCCCGCTCAAGGAGCGTTTGAAGCTGCACGTGCGCACCCACACGGGCTTCAAGCCCTACCAGTGCCCCGAGTGCTCCAAGAGCTTCGCCCGGGGCGGCCAGCTGGTCCAGCATCAGCGCACCCACAGCCAGATCAAGCCCTATCGTTGCGAGCTGTGCCCGGGCACCTTCACCTGCGCGGCCAATCTCGCCCTCCATCTGAAGAGACACAGTGGGCAAAAGGATCACAAGTGTCACGTGTGCGGCCGCGGCTTCGTGCGCCGCGACGCCCTCAAGAAGCACCTCGAGTGTCTTCATCGCGACGTCAAGAGCTTCCTCTGCACGATCTGCAACAAGACCCTCAAAGGCCATCTGCCGCAGCACATGAGGACGCACGCGCGCGAGCGCCCCCATCAGTGCGCCACGTGCGGCCAGCGTTTCGCCCAGAAGAGCCAGCTGACCGTGCACCAGAGGACGCACTCGGGCCAGAGGCCGTTCCGCTGCCTCGTCTGCTGGCAGGCGTTCGCCCACTCGACGGCGCTCAAACTGCACACGCGACGTCACACGGGCGAGCGGCCTTTTAAGTGCGCCGAGTGCAGCGCCGGCTTCTCCCAGCTGCCCCACTGGAAGAAGCACATGAGGTGTATACACGGGAGGTTGGAGCCGTATAGGTGCGACAGGTGCTCGAGGCACTTCAGAATGAAGAACGACCTGGAGGCGCACGAGAAGGAGTGCAACAACAACAACAACGATCAAGCGGTAGAGGGGGGAGGAGGAGGAGGTGCTAAATTATCGCAGGACGCGACGACGATCTTCGCGGAATCGGCGGCGGCGGCTACGGCGGACGTGTCGCCCAGTGCCCTGGCCCGCTACCAGAACTGCTCCGTGGAAAAGCTCAGGCTGCTGCTGGCCGTACTGCTCAAACGCATCTCCAAGCCCGAGCGTCTCGACGAGCTGGGCTTCGGCAAGCGACTGATCGACGACGTGCTGCACGACTCGCTCCTCGCAGCGGACAAGCCCGCCACCAAGATCGGCCCGGAGGTGAGCGAGTTCACGGCGCTGCACAAGAATCTCGCCGTGTTCCTGGAGTGGACGGTGCCCAAGCCACACTGGGAGCAGTTCCGCCAGATGAACAGGACGCCCGAGGAGATTCTGGAGACGCTCACCGCCACGTAAAGAGACGAACGTGCCAACGTAGGGGGCGAGTCGCGCTCGCGCGCACGAGTACCCGCGTGTGATTTCTAAGACCTGTTGAAGTAGGGCATTTTCGCAGGGCTTATTATAGAAGAGAGAAAAAAACACGACGACCCCCCTCGATACATAAAAAAGGCGCCGCACGCACTCGATGTGTATCGAGTTTGCCCAAGAGTCGAGCATTTATATACATATTATATGTATGTATACACACAGACGCAGAAAATTGCCGAGCTCTGCTCCTTTTTTCCGCTCGTCGTTCTTTATATATATCACCGGGACTGCGCACTCGATTTCATTAATTCCACACGAGTTCGAGTGCGCGCGTGCGATACACCGCTTGTATTATATCGTATATACGAGGCGATGATTAACGCGGAAATTTATGCGTATACGAAACCCCGAATTTATCAAAGGGTTTCTGGTACTTATCGAAAGAGTCGCGAAGAAAGACGCGTTACAGAATTGAAAGAAAAAAACTTATGCAACGATATGAGTTCTCCATTGTCTTGCTTACAAACTGCCACGATCAAAGTTCACTCGAAGACATATATATTCTTCCCAGGCTAGTATATAGCGATTGGAAAAAGAGCCGTGGCGCGTTTTTAATCGACGCGAGCGGTGATTTAGCGATATCGTTCGTTCGCTGATCGATATGATATACTATATTATATATAGACGAAAATTTAATCGAAAACGAATTAAAAAATAATAATTATAAAACAAGTTGGCACGTGATTACGCACGTAACGCACGTATTTATTATTATCATTGTATGAATGTATATTGTATATTATTTATACACAAGTATATTCGACACATACACACGAAAGATAAAAATTAATTGCACCGCCTTTTGATCTACCTGCTAATATGTATTATCCAAAAAAAGTTAAAATAAAAAACGAGAGAAGCGAGCGTACGCAAAATTTGCGTACAAAATATAACGATAAATGTACACAGGCCGTGTGTATACTACGAAGCGCGAGCTGCGCGCGAATAACTGGCGCCAAATCGCACGTTATAAAAAGAAAAAATAATCATTATTAACGAGTGATTTCGATGCTGCGAGCGTATACCGAAGCAAAAAAGAGCGCCGTAGAAGTGTACGTACGCATTGAGCGACACCAGATCCACTTGCATACGTACGCGGTATACACATATACGTATGTGCGCGGTGACAATTAAAATATGTAACTTACTTATACGCGTGAGAAAGCGAGAAGCAAAAGAGAGAAAAAAATTCAATGCGCGCGTCGAGACTCTCTCATTGTGTTCACGTGGAGGCATGTATGACTTAAAACGAAAAAAACATAAAGACCGAAGCATAAGTAAGACCTATATCATTATAATTATTTATCATTACGATTTATTGTATAATTTGCCCGTCGATCGACGCGGCATGATTCAATTGTGATTCGAAAATCAAAAATTCTTTAAGTATAATTTTTAATCGATAATTACGCCTATGTATATGATTTAGCTTGTATTGCGGAAATTCAATTGTGATTTGAAAATCAAAAGAAACATTTTCTTAGCGAGTAATATATATATTGCGTTTAACGTTGTGTAGCATTATCATCGTCTTTTTTACGTACACTGTATACGGTCGAAATTCGATGCTCTTTCGTTGTCGATTTTATTATATATCGAATTACGTTTCACGATACATTTTTCTGACGTATACTTCGTTCGAACTGCGCGAGCTTTTTTGATATGAATATATGACAAATATACACGACGTATTTTTCAACGATGCGCTTACATAATCAGCTGACTCCATGCAAAAAAAGAAAGAAAGAAAGAAAGAAAGGAAATAGGAAATCACACCGGAGACCAATGCGATAAAGAGAGAGAAAAAAATAACGGAACATTATCATAGCTAGAAAATAAGTGAATGTGAATCGACAATAACGAGAAAAAAAAACTTGAGCGTTTTAAATGTATACAACACAGCAACACGGCTAATTTATATCCCGCGAGTTCGTGAACGAAACATGATCATTTTAAATGTTTACACGATATTATATATTATATATTATATTATACAGTAACCGAAGAAATATTTCAACGCCTATTGTGTGAGTAATCTTAGAAAGGGAATATGCGATTAATTTTTTAATGTACAAAGGTGCTACGTTCGAAACGTTATGTAGGGTTGAATTTATTGATAATTAAAATTTACCACTCGTTTCTCATGCAAATGATGACGGACCGAGGAGTCTGCTTATTAATTTTGAGGAATGAATTTTCTTCTTCTTTTTTTCAACGATGGCAAATTGAACCGATTTTCCGTTGTGCATATATGCTGTATTGTAAGCACGCGTAGATAATATTGTAGTTACCGTTTGCACGAACAACGTAAATATTTATCTAGAAAAACGAGCACTTTCCGATAATAACAAAAAAAACACTGTAACCTTATGAATTTCAATCCGACTGTGAATGGAGTGACCGAGTGAGAGTTTGAAGTGTAAACAATCATGTAAAAAAGAATGCATTAATTATTATGTTACTTATTATTATCATTAGTAAAACGAGTGCCAAAGCTATGTAAAATTATTTTATTATTCGTGTGATTTTGCGAATATTTCGAATGATTTTTAATTAAAAAAAACTATTTTTTAGGCATACCAAAGCGAGGTTTAACGAGTGTGTATGTACTTACGTCTGATTATAAAGCGAGAAATCCTTTACAAAGTCCAAACAGTTATTTGGATACTTTCTTCGGGGGGTTAGTTAATGATTTTTTCCCGATGTAATAGTTCGTAATCGATAGCAACATATCGTTATCATAGGGCAAAAATGACTGAAGTTATACAATATATATCTTGATAAAACATGTCTTGGCTCAGGAAAAAAAAACGTAACGATTTTATACTTACGAGTAAAAAAAAAGAGAGAGAGAAACTATTGTTTTAGATAAGTGCCATGAAAGTTCATTTATTGAAAAATATTACTTATTGTCGATACTAAAAAAGTAAAAAAAAAAAAAAACAAATTTAACGTGATGAAACTGAATCAAAAGTAATTTATAGAGCCTTAAAATGTAAGTTCGAATGTTTTATGTAAATAACATAAAATTTTTAAAAATGCGTACTTTAATCCGATGTAATTCGATTGATATGTAGAAATTTATTGCCATTTTGCCGTGTCGTTCCAGGTAAAGGTCAATGAAACATGGTATTATTATAAAATTCTTACGATTACGAAAAAAAAAAGCACAAAAAAATAATTATATAAAATTATAATGCACAAATTGAAAATACTTGGTAATGGAATTACTATTCAACCTCGATGTTGTTGAGTCTAATCGAGAACGAGAAAAAAAAAATTTAGGTAACGTTTGACAATTGCTGAACATAATGTGTAATCAATAATGTCTTCCTTTTTTTCAATATAATAATAATATTAAAAAAGACACGATACAATAGTTTTGTTTTGATTCAAAAGAAGTCACAACGCGCGTCATCATCGTCGTCGCGATTCAAACAAAAGAGAGAAAAAAAAAACATACGTGGTTGATAATAACTAGGTATTAAGACAAATCAGCATAAAACCCGTCTCATTGTTAGATTCCCAGTATAAAATTCTCCAGTAACAAAAAATAAAAGGTTTGTAAAAGATTTCGAAACAATCTTCTGTACCAATAGGCATCATCTTCTGTATAACGTGAAGAAATAAAAAAAAAATATATGTATATATCTATAAATATCGTCTACTGTCTTAACCCTGCCTAAATTGAACCTTTTGATTAAAAAATTTTTTTGTTAAATGTATCCAGTGCGAGATTACGCGCTTTACAAAAGCGACGTTGAAAAATATTTCATTCTCCCCCTTTGGCTTGCTCTCTACGGGTGCTCTACGCCGCCGTCTGGTTTTCCTGCAGTTTTCTGGAAAAAAAGAAGGAAGCTTGCGCGCGCGCGGACCCGTAATGAAGTTTCTTAATTATTGATTAATCCTTTGCCTAAACTGCGTATTTCCATCTTCGTCGTCTCCCACTTTGTTCTTGTCTCGGCTCTCGCTCTCTCTCTCTCTTTTCTGTCCCCGCCTGGCCTGGCGCTTTACTGACGCGCCAAGTAATGCTTTTCTCTCTCCTTGCTGCTGCTGCTGCTATATACCGAACGTATTGCGGAGACAGCACGCAGCGAGGGTGACTTTTACAGAGAGAGAGAGAGAATCTTTCTTCCCTTGCGCGCCGCTGCCGCTTGTCGCTCCGAGTGTACCCGGGCTCAGAAATACACAGAGACATAACGGGTTGTTGGCGGCAACAAAAAAATCTCCTCGTCCTGCGACGGGCTGTGCAGTATGACAAAGAGAGACAAGCTGCTGCCAAGAGCGACAGAGTGAATGGACTATTGTTTAAATCAGCTACAGCGATATAATAGCCCCGAGAGAAACAACTTGTCGCTGTTTTTGCGCACGGCAAATATTGATCTCGATGGAGAAATAAATAGCGAGATGTTTTCTCGCTGCTTTTTTCTCGTTTCGACGCGGAGGCCAGTTTTGGAATCGTCGGGCAATCGAGGGGACCCCGTGGTGTCTTTGCGAGAAGAATCGTAGAACGCGACGCTCGAGAAAAAAATAATTTCGAGTCTCATCAATTTAAACGCAGCGAATTAATCATTAGAGCCTGTGGGGTAAATCTTAAAACCGCTGATATGATATTTTCCAGTTCCTTTAGCCTTCCTGCTCTTAATGGTCGAGCTTACTAAGTTTCGACTTAATCACTTTTTTTTCATTTCAGCGGTTTCATCTGCGAAATGGTAAAGCTGCGTTTGGTCTCAGTTATTTTAAAAGAAAGAATGTTTGAAAAAATGGTATACATAGTATATTGATTGTGAAAAATGATTTTTGCTTTGAGCAACATTCGTTTATTTTTATCAATACCAAAACCAATGTAAAGTTCAACATTTTTAAGTACATTTTATGAGATTTCTTTTCTATTAAATATTTAATGCTATCAAAAAAAGAAAAATAAATCCTGGTTCATTTGTATGTATTTGTATGTATATTTATGAAAGGTTAAGCTTTCAGTCTTTGTCAGAAAAAAAGGTAATTTCAACCACTTTTGAAATGGAACCATTTCTAATTTCTACCTTACCGATTGATATGATTTGCGAAATCTTTTCGAATTACAGCTGATAGAAAGTAATTATTGATTTTCGTTTAATTTAATTCTTTTAAAATAATTAAAATACAAAACTTTAAAAATAACAACTTCACAAATAGAGAAATAAGTGAATTGCAATAACTTGTGGTAAAATAAATATTCATATTCGTATCAAATTTTATTTATCATGCTTTTCAATACAAAAACATTTTTCATAGAATAAAAGCTTATCAAAACAACATTTATAAATGTTAATTAAAAAATATAATGCTTAACAAGTGCGCAATTTTATTGTCTGGAAGGTATTGAAATACCTAAACTCGCGAATAATTAGTACTTAAAGTACATGAAATTGTTAATTAATAAGTATAATGCTTAACAAGTGCACAATTTTACTGTCTAAAAGATATTTAAATACCTAAAATCGCGGGTATTTAGCACTACAAGTGCATAAAATTTGTTTAAAAATTTTTAGAGGGTCACTCTTACTGAATATATCAAAACACTTAATAAAAATACGTTGATGTCGCTTAAATGCATAAACACTCATATGTCTAAATGTACGTAACTAAGCTGCAACCAGACTAAACAAGATGCGTAAAACCGATGTTTTCAGTGTATAAAAACGTCAAAAATATTTTGGAAAAATCGGCGCTCCAGATCTAGTCTCATTGTAACTTTAATGAGAAGAATTGAGAGCTAACAAGACTGGATAAACTATATTATCACTCTGATATACAAAATAAGTAACAAAATATTATATAAATTGCTATGTGAGGTAACGTATGAAAAGTAACTATTTCAATGGTTTAAAATCTATAGTAAAACTTCAACAGTAGGGCAGGATATGCACAGCATATTATAGTTATCCAGCAATGATCGATCTCATCTTAATTTGAAAACTCTTAAAATCTATTACACTAATATCACGTGGTACTTATACGCCAATAAACTGATCAAACTCAGTCCAAAAACTTCAAAAATTGTAATACGATTGATTGAAGTACCTGAATGAACTGCATGTATAATATTTTCATTAGAAAGACTAGTTTTATGAATCTTTATTGGCACTGCTGTTGTTGGTTCGTGTGTTTCGATTTTTCTATCGCTCCATCTCAGAACAAACTTCTTCGAAAAGTCCACAAACAAATTATCAATTTCCAAAACCTGTAAAATTACGATAATTAAATTTTCATTCCCAGTTAAGTTAGTCTTGAATGATAAATGGTGTGAAACGTACTAATAATTCTTTGTCGTAGACAAACTTAACGTCATTTTCATTAAGGAATACTTGTTGCACAATTTTAGTAACTCCCATTATTGTGATTTTTCCCAGTTTCATTTTTCCACCGTAAGATCCTTCTACCGTATAACTTGTCAAAGTGTCGTCGGATACATTGAATGAGAACAATAAGTACTGTTTCTTTTCTATCGAATCTGAAAAGTCGTGAAAAATTTTAATAATTTCTTAAATATTAATTTATATTGATATTATTCGTTTGAAATAATTTACCTAAGCTGTCACCGTCGTCCCAATATAGTTCACCGGTGGCTCTTTCTCGTTCGTCTAAGGCAATAAACAATCCAAATGGTTTTTGACGGCTCAAAGTGGTGGTGGTACTTGGCTCTTGAACTGGAAGAATACATCCACCGCGCACCAATAAGGGAATCGTATCGATTGGTGCATCGAGGGTGTAATTTGAACCGATAGAATTAGAGTATTCTTTTGTATAAAAGTTATACCAAGGTCCTCTTGGTAGATACGTATTTACATATGTTTCGTTCTGGAAGAAATAAAATTTTCATATGTTTGAAAAATAAATTAATCTTTGATATAATTTATTACCTCTTTTAGTACTGGTACTATCAGCAAACAACTACCCCACAAAAATTCTGTATCGATGTCAAATGTATTAGGATCTTCTGGAAATCTACATTTCGATGGTTAGAAAAATTTATTGATAAGAAAATTTATTATTAATCCACAAAAAATACTTACTCAACAAACAAAGGTCGAGCAACTGTTTCTGCATACTTGTGAGCACGATAAAATAAGGTATACAAATACGGGAGAAGATAATAACGTGCATTCAAAGCTTTTTTGGAAGACATAACTACTAGTTGTCCCATTGATACAGGATCTTGTTCCTGAAATAATAAATATTGATATTAATCCTCGACTATTGATTGATTTCTCAATTAATGCAACAGTTGATTATTTACAGTTGTGTCATCTGAATTGTGGTTGCGAGAAAAAGGGTAAAATGCTCCCAACTGCATCCATCGGTTACAAAGAGCTTCAGTAGCATTACCATCAAAACCACAGATATCTGCTCCAACCATTGGTATTTGGAACAAGCTATATGCTAATATTTCTGGAATACTCATTCTCAAATCATGCCTGAAATTTAAAAATCAATAAGAGAAATTGTTGAATGATGAGTTTTTTTTTTTATGTTAAAAATTAGATATTTACCATGAAGAATAAATATCGCCAGTCCAATGTCCTGCGTAAGATCCATGACCTTCCCAAGTAGATCGAGAAATAATGAATGGTCTTTTATTTCTTATTTGTTTTAGCGCACTGGAAAATGAAATAGTTATCATAATGAAAAATAATTTCCTGTCCAGTAAAATAATTTTGTTCATTTCTCAAAATAAGATTCATACCTATTAACAACAATTGCTTGACTAGTTCCGTATACATTATGAAGATCATAGTGATATCCAAGATGTTGTCTGGCATTCATGCACAAAGTTTTTCTAGTTAATAGATTTCCAACAACATTAGGTAAATATGGAGGAGTATTGAGAGAATTATTGAAATCACAGCCATTTAAGTGACCATTGTAGAAATTTGATGGCTCGTTCATATCCTAAAAAAATGTTTTTTTGTTATACCAAGTACAATAAAAATTGAATAAAATGTAGAATATATCAATAGTTATTTTTACTCTTCATGCTATTTATGTCAACTATGAAGAATAGCCCTAAGTATTATGTAGATAAAAATAATACTCACTATCCATGCACCATCATATTCAAAATCCTTGTGCATATTGCTCATCATTTCAGAATAATATGCTGAAGTTTTTGGATGAGTAAAATCTGGCCATGTTGTAGAATTTAAATTCCATACTTTGCCTTTAAAAGGTACATTGTCATTTTCATCAATAACAAAAATACCTAATTTGACGCCTTCATCATAAGGAACATATCCACTTTCTTCTAGAGCAGATACTCCAGCATCAATTAATGGTATATAATGCATGCCAGCCTTTGAGTGAAATATATAGAAATATTTTATTCATCAAGTCCAAGTCATACATTTTTTTTACATGTTATATCTAACTTACGTCATGAATTTCTTTTACGAATTTTGGCAGGTCTTTGAATTTGATTTTATCATATGTAAAATCGTTGTTTTTATCCATATAATCTAAATCATTCCATTGAGTATCCTAAAACAAGATTGAATGAAATTAAAAATTGTATACATTTTTGAAAATAAAAACGTAATTAGAAATATTTACAAATGGAATTAATGCATCTCTTGTTCTTTTCCAAACAGATCGAGTCTCTTCCAAAGATTTGTAGCCGAATCTACACAAATGAAAGCCCAGAGACCAATAAGGAGGTAAAAATGGTTTACCAACAACTTGGGCATATTGTTTTAAAACATCAGCAGGAGTTGGGCCCATAAAAAAGTACATGTCAAATATTCCTCCAATACTTCTTATTGTAATAGCAGGAGTTGGTTGCAAAATGATATCTGTGAAAATTCAACCAATTTGAAGACATGTAATTTTTAAGTTATTTTTTATCAAAATTATTTTAATTACCCATTGCATTACTGTTCATGAATAACATGCCATGAGTTTTTCCTGATTTTTCAACAACCATATAAAATGGATGTGATCCATATAAATTAGCCTGAAAATAATTTTTATTAAGTGCCAAAATATGTTAAACAAAAAATGAAAAATGAAAATGATTACATTTTCTGTAGGTGGTTGATCAGCATTGAATAAAGTAAGTTTTTGCCAATTGGTATTTAATTTCAAGTTTGTTCGATGTTCTCCAAGTCCATAAATATTTGAAGATGGAAGTACAGAACTGATTTGTAAGAATTGATCAGCAAATATAAAACCGCCAAATCCAATAGAGTTGAAACTGAAAAATAAAATGATAATTTAGATACTTTATATAAAAGAAATGATTTAATTCTACAAAAAAATTAATTCTCACATAGTTTTTTGATCATTGCTTCTCATAACTTTGAATCCGGGTATATTTTCATCCATTTTAAATTCATACTGAGGATTGTTATTTTCTTTAGAGAATGGATGTGGATCTTCTCTTATAGGATAAGGTGGTTCATAGCGTTTATTAACAGGATCAAATATCTAAGAAATTTGGAAAGTTAAAATTATGTATAATATAATAATAAGAAAAAATTAACAGCACTTACTTTGACACGTAAAGTTGTATCATCCACCCCAAAACTTTCTATCTTAACTAGTGGCACATCATTTTTATAGAATGAATTTTTCTGCAATTTCAGAAATCCTGAGAAATCATTACCATCTTTGGTAAAGTTATCATATTTATATAAGGTCCAATTTTTTGGATAATAGCAATAAGGCACATCTAAAGGAACATTTTTTTCATAATTCAATTGGTGAAGAGGATTCCAACAGCATCCTCTGTCTGTACATGAGAGTTGAGATGCTCCATTTTCAGGATGACAGTCAAATCTCAAATTTAATGGAATATAATCACATTTAGCTCCATCTTCTTCTGCATAATCTTTCATAAGATCAGATTTGGAGAAAGAAAACATATCTTTTATTCGCTGTGCACCAAGTTCTGTTAGTACATTAATATTTTCAATTTTATCTTCCATTTGTCCTTGAAGTCGTTCTAATTGAGTGAGACTATGTTCAGCCGTGATATGAAAAGTATTCAGTTCCTCTCTCATTTCATCTTGTTGTTGTTTAGCTTCCTTAAAGTATTCGGTGCATTGTACCAGCACATAAACACTGAGTACAAAAATGACAAAAAAAGCAGCATATTTGATTGCCAAAAGTATAGGTGAAGCGTACTGTAAAAAACTCTTCATGTTAACTTTGAAACTGTTATCATCCGATAATACTGAATTTTGAGATGCCGATGAATTAACAGTATTTATCAATAGTGATTCTGAGCCTTCACCAGAGTTTGGTGTAAAATAGAAACTTGAATCTGCCATCTTTTTGGCACTCATTTTGTCAATCATTGAATCTGAAATATAAATTGCACGTTAAATTATTTTGCATGATAAGATTCATGAAGTAATCTAATGTTTACAAACTTTTATCAGGAAGTACTGGATTCGCTGGAGGTGTTGATGAGCCTTCACCACCAGAATTGGCTATCAGAAAGCTGGTATCCGCTGGCTTTTTGGCCCCCATGTTCTCGAAAAATAATTCTGAAATATAAATTTTACGTTCGTATTTTTTACGCGATCAGATTCACCAATCCACTCTACAGTGTTTACAAATACAGCGCGAGCAAGCTCAACGTAAACAAAAGACTCGACCGGTCTTTATTACAATCCAAACGCACTGTTTCAGCCTAAAGAAACTACTCGAGCGATATCAAACTTTTATGAGAACAAAAAACACTACTGGGAATCCCCTTCGAGATACGACGCTTGAACATTGCGATAATAATAATATGTCAATCATTACCTCTGGCGTTGTTATGCATGAAATGTCACGACTGCGCAACAGGTGATCATAACCGAACTTCAAAACACACACCGATGACTGAGGGGGATGCAACAACACCGGACTCAAATCGACACCACTTTTTCGAATTCAAGAGTTCGGAAGAGCCGCAAGTAAAATGCACCACACGAAACAATAATGGGAAAGCAGCTCAAAGCGAACTTTCGCCCGCTGCACCACCGCAGTCCATTTACAGAAATAGCTGTCGCGCGAAGTAGTAATAGCAAGAAATGCGGCTAACGCAGGCGACATTAATACACAACAGTCAACACACGCTACTCTCTGCCTGCCTGCTCCTGCCTGCCTATGTATGTATATATATGTGCGTGTTGCGATTTAGTTTCGTGGAAGCATGGAAGGGGAGAAATGCTGAAAAGTACTGCTAACAGCATGTGTTACCTATACATAGGTATATCTAATATCGGTTGCGTGTGTGCATTTGTGCAGTACATATATTAATATGTCAATGTAATACAGTATAGGATACGTGTTTGCACGATCTAATGATGTCGGCCGCGCGCTGCATAATGCTTACATACACACGCCGGTTTTCACTTTCTTCGATACAACTTGTGTCTTTCACCTTGCCAAGCAAAAAAAAAAAAAAAGACATCTAATGCTCGATTCATTTTGGGATCGAACACTTGAAAGACAAACATTGTATACCAAGTAATATAATTTTATGCACTTACGCCGTCAAAAGAATCTCAATGATGAAATGAATACATAAAGTTTCGCGAAGATGATACAGCTTTATCAGCAATGAGTAATTTTTTTTTATCGGACAACTTCGTTCGACGTTGCACTACATACCGTTGTTTTTATATCGAAAAAAAGTACGTGACTGAATTCTATTTTTAGTTGAGGCAGGATGCAATGCAATTTTGAGATAAAATTGAAAGCAAAGCGTGTAGTAAGATATTACTTACAGAGTAGAATATTTTACTGGCACTAATAGGAGATGTGAAGTTAAAAATAATTCAATTAGTTCTCCTCTTGTTAAATGATCAACAACATTTATTTACAACGGTTACTAAAAAAAAATAGTTCCATATAAAACATATTTATTACATTGAAACACATAAAAATATTCCTTTGATGTTAATATCATCACCCATCACATTTTTCTATGATTTCTGAAAAAAAATTTTTTTTGTCAATTACATTCAAATTTTGGTGAATTTCTAATAAAATAAATAAAAATAGTTATTACTGTTAACAAGGGAATGTAAAGCTTTCACTGTGGGAGATTCTGGAAATTCTTCCAAAATATTTTTTCCTTCATCGCAGCATCTAGCTAAATAAGGATCCAAAGGTAAAGATCCTAAAAATTCCACATTCAATTCCTCAGACATTTTTTTAGCTCCTCCAGTTAGTGCTGGGAATATTTCTGCAGAGTTCTGAAAATATGTAATTTTTTTATAATTAAATGAAATCTAGGTGCACTAAATCTAGCATTATTTTGATTTATTTTAAATAATACCTTGCATTTTGGGCAAACAAAAGAACTCATATTTTCAACGACGCCTAAAATAGGAATTTTCACTTTTCTGCAAAAGTCTATTTCCTTCCTTACGTCTAACAGCGCAACTTCTTGAGGTGTTGTAACTATAATTGCTCCAGTGATTCCAGCTTCTTTTAAATACGTTGTAGCAGATAGATGTTCATCAGAAGTTCCAGGTGGGGTATCCAGAATTAGATAATCTAATGTTCCCCAATCAACTTCTGATAAAAATTGTCTAATCATGCCTGAAATTGTACAAGTGCATTAGTTAAAATAAAGTATTATTTTAAAAACATCTTTTGAACTTTACCATTCTTTTTTGGACCTCTCCATATAACAGCATCATTGACATCATTTAATAAAAATCCTATTGACATTAGGGACAGATTTTCTTCTACAAACTGCAAGAAAAGTTAAATTGAGGACACTTTGAATGATTTGTCATGATTTATTTGTTATTTGCATGCGCTTACAACTGGTGACCATCCTGAGGCACTTTGATGTACTTGTTCACCAAGAGCTCCAAGGACTCTTGGTTGTGATGGGCCACAAATATCAATGTCTAAAACAGCTACCTGAAAAAGAATAATAAAATGAGTAACCTTGTATTCTATAAGACCTAGTTATTACTCTAAATTTAGTTTCATGGAAATGTATTTTGTGCATGACATGTTATATTGTTTGGTTGCATGTAGGTGGTACAGTAATCAATGAAAGTTTATGCAACATATATACATGAATGAGTGCAAGTGATGTTCCCTAGTGGATTAGTTTATTTCCCAACCTACTGTTAGTCTTTCAGCAGTCACATATCCATCCATCATGTATTTAGAAAATCATTTAGATATTTTAGGCTTGGGAAGAAGGGTAAGTAGGAAAAGTCCCATTGATAAATTTAATAATGTACTTGAGTTGATAAAAATTTTACACTTCATAAATATAGAAATTTTAAAAAAAAATCTTATCGTTTTTAAAAAAACAATAAAATTTATAAGAGATTTTGATCTATTTTTCAAAGATTTATTTAAAAACAAAAAAAACAGTTTTACAATTTAGAATCATGTAAAATATACTCACATTTCTATTAATATTTTCAGCAGCAAGACCTCTTGAAATAAGAGAAGTCACTGTACTTTTTCCTACACCACCTTTGCCCGATAGAATTAATACTTTATTTTTGACAGATGACAACCTTTCCTTGACTAATGCAATTCCAGGGTCAGGTAGTTTAGTTGCTCCTGACGAGCAAATGTTTTGATTTGGACAACCAGCACATGCTGATGCTTTGCCAGCATCTTGACTCTGTGTTCCTGGGCAATCTAAATTAAACAACAATTATGTTTAATTAATTAAAAACAAACTGTTCACATTGATATAATAATATGGATATGAATTTAAACTATTCCTAATCACTCAAATATAACAAAATTCTTAATAAATCCAAATGGACTTCAAAATCCACTAAAGTTGTAAAAAGCAATATTATGAAATTGACATTTGAATTCAAAATATAACCTAATGTTTAGACAATTTTGATAATATTGATACCACGCAAACTTAATCGATAATGAAAAATGACTCTAAGAATTCACGTTCATCAAAATATTGACTTAACAAGTTACGTTAATTTTAATTAAGAAAACTATCAAGAGTATCTTGAAAAAAAACAAACACTCACGTTCGGGAGCTTCTTGCGGTTTGTCAGCCATGTTGAAACTACTTGCGATTAAAAATCGTCTGCACGGCGTATCGACAGCCATTTAAATTTTTGAACTTATCAGTCTGCTTGATCTTTTGTTTTTTAAATGCAAACTCATTCTCTTTTTGGAAATATTTTTAAATCAATCGCTAAATAAAAAAAAACTCTTTACTTCAATGAAATTGATTTTACAGAATTTGAATTTTAATTATTTTAAAATTAATCATTTAACATTATATTATATTTTTTCAGCATTTTCATCACTGCAGAGCATTAGAGTCATCGTCATCGGCGCCCTGCATAAAATCGTTATTATCATCCTCATCGAGACTGGCGAACAGTTTGGCGAAAGCTCGGTCCCTCGCTTGGCGGCCGAAATTGGGCATCGACACCTGCGATCTGGTGCCTCTGTGAGTGCATATGCGATACATTAAATATTTTCGAAAAAATAATCCCACATCGTCGAGCACCAGAGGCGGCAATAAATTATCTAGGAGAACGACGTTATCGTGATCGATAAGCGTGTCATCGTCGTCGTCGTTGGTGGGCGCGGAGGGAGATTGATTTTTTGGGACAGCAAAGGAATGCCAGAGCTCGCTATATTGATCTAACATTTATCTCACCCCTTACCAACGCCGGTTTACCCGCTGTGCGCGAAATTCCTTCGGTCGGAGCATCCCACAATTGAGCTATTTAAAGACTAGAGTGAACACATTGCAGCGGAGTCAAATTATCTTTTGATCGTTTACTTTTCTTCATGAGACTTTAGATTTTTTATAGCGAATCGAAATTTTTAATGAATGAAAATCGATGAAATGACGGGTTAAATCGAATCGAAATTAGACAGAGACCAATATTTAAAACGCATTCGTAATTATATTTTACTAAAACAATAAATAAAGCTCCAACGTAAACGATTAAACGTCAAAACTTTACATATACAACAGGTATAATTCATACAGATCCTCGAAAGCATTGTCGAGCTATACGGTCGATCCGCTCTGCAGCATGACCACGCAGCCGTTGAAGTTTCCGAATCTCGTCGCGGGCCTGCCGAAGCATCCTCCGTACTCCTCGCAGACCTCGGCCCTGTGCTCGAGATTCACGCCCAACGAGTGGTTCCAGAAGCAAGTCAAGTTCTACAACGAAGCTGACTCGAATCGCTATTATTCCGAGAGGATGCGCAGCGACGCTGTAAAATTAATGAGGCGAGTTTATAGAGACACGATCGATTCGTCACATTGATTCATCGTTATTAAAGTTGTACGTTGAATTAATTTTGGGGCAGGGAGGCCGATCACAAGATCCAGCACACTCAGCACGACACCGGGCGCCGATTGGGCGAGAGAATCAGCGACGTGACGTTCTGGCGCAACGAGATCGCGTCCGAGCTGGAGAAGCAGGTGCAGGAGATCGACCGACTGCAGGACTGCCGTACGACGCTGGAGAAAGCCGTGCAGGACATCGAGAATCCGCTTCACGTAGCCGAGGAGTGCTTGTACCACAGAGAAGCGAGGAAAGGTACGATTCGAATTTATTTAAAATCGGTGAATTTTTAATGAAAAAAAAAAAAAAAATCATTGAATTCAAGGAATGGAACTGGTTCACGACGACCCCGAAAAGTCTCTGCTTCGCGAAGTTGAGCATTTGAAAAGTGGCGAAAGACGATTGGAACACTGTCTCGATAGAGTTAAGGATCAGGTAAGTTATGTAGTTTGCTAGTACTATTGAGTCTAATTAACGTCTACGAATCTGTCTTTCTACAGCTCCGAAATTGCAGAATTTCGCAGAATCAATTAGAGCTCGATCTTAAAAATAAGGAAAGTGCGCTTGGTATTGACCTTCACTGTTATCAAATCAATAATGCCAGTAGAGGTTTGCAGTACTATTCGGGAATTGAAAAATATGATCCTTGGTATTGATTGCTCTGTTCTAGAATGTTAAAAAATTATTTACCAGAGTAAATGTTCTTATTTATTATACTTATAGCATTTCGAAGCCTGATACATGGGCCGAAACAGCAAATAGGATCATTCAAAAGTCGCAATCAGAGAGAACTAAATCATGCCAACTTAGAGCAGAAGCAGAGACTTTGATCAATCGTGTGGCTCAGGAAATGTGGGATGCTTGGAACAGTAGTAATAATGCTCTTTCGCGAAGGTGTTCAGAGTTATTGGAAGCAAAAAGTAAACTGCAGCAACATTTGCATAAGGTAAATAGCACAAAACTAATTCACAACATTAGAAAAAAGACTAAGATGTACATAATTAAATCTTGAAGGTACAACAAGAAATTTTTGACGTCGAAAAGAATTTAGAATTAATGCGCAAAGCTATAGCAGATAAGAGCTATGCATTAAAAGTAGCTCACACTAGATTAGAAGCAAGAACACATCGTCCTGATATAGAATTATGCAGGGATTATGCATACACGAGTCTCCAGAAAGAAATTGATGGCATATATAATCAGGTTGAAAAGATGCATAGAGCTTTAAAAGATATGGAGTGTCAACATCAGCGGTTACTAAGAACTCGCAATGCTCTTGAGCACGATTTGGCTTTGAAAATTGATGCATTATACATTGATAAAGACAAAGTTTGTGGATTGAGACGAGCATACCCAGTGAATGCCATGTTTCGGTTTTAATCTGTATACAAATTAGAGCACATTCAATATTTACTGTTGAATTTTAAAGAAAATTACAAATTTTAATATAGTTAATTATAATTATAGTAGTCAAATAAATACCAAAGTTTTAAAGCTTGTACTTGAAAAACACTCAAACCTTAAGTAATACAAAAACTATAAAAATAATTTATATTATAAAACTTAAATTATTTATATTACCTATAGAGTTAGTGGACTTTTTTAATATAACTTGGTATTGGTAATTTTGTTCCTTCTTTAGCTTCAAAAAATGTATAAGATAGAACAATTTCATCAACAAATTCCATTTTAGGATCTTCAGTGAATTCTGGATCAATGAAGAAAAATACAGGCATATCCACCTTAATAAAAAATAAAAAAGTATTACAATTACCAAATCATTTTTCTTCACAATATTGAATTCTAATTACATCAAAATCATTATACGTTACCTGTTCATGGGGTGCAAGCATTTGTTCTTCGAAACAAAAGCACTGAATTTTATTGAAATAAGGACCAGCTTCGAACGGTACTATATTATAAGTAGATACTCCACTAATTTGTACATCTGTTGGATTAGTTGCAGTGTAAAATGCCAGAGCAGTTTCACCGGGCACTAACTTAATTTCTTTTTGCTGTGGTTGAAAGTTCCACGCCATTTGAGCTGCAGTATCAGCTGTAAACTTTATTTTTAGTACTCTTTCTTTGACAGGTTTCATTTCTGCAACTTTGGATGTATCATGTCCTGTTGTTCCACCATAAGCAAACGCCTGCATGACAAAATAGAGGATCTAGTTTTAGTATTCAATCATATAATAAGATTCAGCACTGATTAATGAGCTATAAGGTTAACTCAAGTAATTTTCGTTTGTTTTCATTCAAATATTTGGTCATGTCAATTTGGATAATAAAGAAGTATTTTTAACATAAAAATTATACCTGACAGAACAGTCTATACAGTGGTACAGCAGCGTATGTCAATCCAAGGGCCAAAATACCAGCAGCCGTAACATAATTAAAGGTAGACCTTATTCTCTTCTTTCGTTCAAGATCTTCATTATTGGGAATTTTGCTATGGATATTTCTTTGCAAGTTATGTCTAATTTGTCTTGCATAATGACTAGAAGCCCATGCACATGTTTTGTACAACATTGTATATTGTGCAAACAAATGTAATAAACGAGTAATGTATACACAAATGCACAATACAGCAATCGCCCTCTATACAATGTCAATTATATGTAATAACCGTTCACCACTCAGAAATCATGTCAAAAACATTACAATCTCGACTTTACTTCATCATCAAAGTTTCATTAAGATTGCAACGAGTAAGAGTTTATATTAAAAACATACTTGTTCAAACGTCGCGAATACTACGTTGTGTTGCATAAAAAATCGAAGGAGGCCGGCCACCGGCCACATGCAACTTTGACATTATGCAATCAAGCAGCCCAGCACGTTGTCATACGTCGGTAAGTACGCTTTCGCGCAAAGTTTAGAGTATTAAAAAAATCCGTATCCTCAGCCCAAAAATCAAAATTTCGATTTAGTTTTCTGAAACTTCTAGTCAATATTTTTTTAAAAGGCTCTACGGCAACCTTCATCTTGATGTTTTTAAGGTCGCCATAGGGCCTTTTAGAGAAATATTGACTAGAAGTTTCAGAAAACTAAATCGAAATTTTGATTTTTAGGCTGACATACGGATTTTCTTAAGGGTTCCTCTATACACACCCGGTCGGTAACTATATTTGCGTATTTTGTACTCATTTTTTTCATTTAGTATACAACCTATGGTCTTGAAATTTTTTGGGAGTGATAACGAAACTAATACAAATGTGCCTATGAAGCTATTTTTTCATATAAACATTGTAAAAATTTTTTTTTTCAATTATCTGAAAAAATAGCTTCATAGGTACATTTGTATTAGTTTCGTTATCACTCCCAAAAAATTTCATGACCATAGGTTGTATACTAAATGAAAAAAATGGGTACAAAATACGCGAATATAGTTACCGACCGAGTGTGTATAGAGGACCCTTAAGGTGGTCTGTACCTCACATTTTTAATAGGAGATCTGGACCCCACGTTTTTATCGACCGAGACACCAAAGTTTCTTTTATTTTTAACTTTTTCTGTAATTCGAATTTCGACGAATGGCTTTGTGGCGACCTTCATTTTGTCGCTAAGAATAAGCAGTTAAAATTGCAGCCAATACCATCGAGTAAATTTCCTGGAAAACTGGATTAAAATTTTTGATCAAGCCATAGATCCAAAGACAGGATCAAAAATTTTAATCCAGTTTTCCAGGAAATTTTTTCGATGGAATGGGCTGCAAATTTAACTGCTTATTCTTAGCGACAAAATGAAGGTCGCCACAAAGCGTCGAAATTCGAATTACAGAATAAGTTAAAAATAAAAGAAACTTTGGTGCCTCGGTCGATAAAAACGTGGGGTCCAGATCTCCTTAACTGAACTGTGTTTGATTTTTTTGAATTTATGTTAACTAGTACTAAAATTTAATTGTCCGTAGTGTGTGATTTAATAAAGTTAAAAATTAAACATTCATTTTAGAAAAAATAAATTATCATCTTTAAAAATACAGATTCAATGTTGGAATTCATTTATACCTTATATTTAATTATCTAATGTTATCAATTGAAAAGTTTTGAAATAACTTACTTGTTTACTTTCTCATTGTGTAAAAGTACTATAAAGGTCAAAAAATACTCTATTCACACAATTTCATTTTGTAAGTAGATTGATCTTGAAAAATGTTTGCACTCAATTCCAAATCATGCGATCAGCACCATTGCTTTTCAAATGTACATTAAAATTGACTGATGGGTTACAATTGCTCGTTGAGTTTCATCTTATCTGCTACTGGAAAACCATTTGTTTAAACAACTAAAAATGGATACTTTTAAGCAAAGCTTTATTTTAAGCAATGATCCAAAAACAATATAACAATATGGATGTTGTGCAACTTTTTGAATGATATTCAATAAAAACACAATCTATGCTTGAAATTATCCAGTCATAATACACTGGTTTCACTTCTAAAATATTTTAATCACATTAAACATGATCCATTAAATCACTTCAACATCTCAATAGTTCTAAACGAATGCTTGTATTTGTAATAAGAAAACAGTTTGTTAAAAATCCTTTTACAATGTATTTATACAATAAATAACATTCTGCCCTTTCTTTGTTTGTTTGTTTTAATTAAAAATTAAAAACTAACGAGTTATTCAAAAGTTGTTTATCAACGCATGTGTCAGTACAATAAGAAATAGCCACCATGAGTTTAAATGCAATTCCCGATTGATTCAAGATCAGTTAAATATCGAATGATTATAGCTCATAATTTTTATCAAGAAAAACGACACGATAATCAAGACACATTTTCAAGCACAAGACAGCGAACGAATCTTCAAGGTAGAGCAACGACATATCGAGGGATGCGGTGATCCAGAAAATATCGATACGTATTACTCGCACCCCAACTCGCACATACAGCGCTGAGAGTTACGGTTATCAAGTATCACGATTCGGGCGTGTATATGTCCGGGGTAAATAAGCAGCCGAGGAAATGGCATAATCAAAACAACGCCCTCAGCGTCGGCAACTTAATGACTTGGCGGAGCAATGGTGGTGATGGTGCTGGTGTGGCTGGTGCCTGCCGGATACGGGCTGCTCTCGGGCTCATAAATGCAATTACCGTCCGGGAAAATTAGTCTAAGGTGTCGTCGTCGCGGCCTCGTCAGCAGCAGGCACCAACAGCAGCTATACGTGTACAGCACACGGCACGGGGATGTATACCACGATAGAGCTCGGTGCGGTGCATCTTTGGCAAGTGCGTCCGGGGCGACCCGATGTTCTTGTGATATACACTCGCTTACCGTTTCCTGTTGCCCAGTTTGCAGGCGTGTGTAGTATGTATGTGTGTGTGTGTGTGTGTGTGTGTGTGTGCACGCGCAAACGACAAACGAAGCTCGAAATAATTACTATAGGTGTCCCGCGGGCTTCACACGCGTGTCTCTCGCTGTCACGCTGCTGATGTGTTATATATCTGTGGGACTTTTGCTATAGTACCCATGTGCGAATGCAGTTCAAAAGAGCTTTTACTTTGACGCGAGCGAGCGACCAAGATTCAATTCCTCTTTCATTAACGCGCGCTCGAGTGTCTTCAAGATAGTACGCGTCGGCTAACTAGTTATATAGGTACATATATAGGTACATACCATCGTGCGAAACTTGAAAATCTATATTATATATCCACCTGCAGCAGCTGCCGATGCTGAGCGCGAAAAGGATTCCATATAAATTCTCGCGAACTTTGTGCTGGAAACGTGTTTGCGAAATATTGTACTCGAATACGCGATACGATCTGTCAAACGTATATATAGTTTTTCAAACTCGTGTTTACCTTTTTACATCTAATGCTTAGATTTAAGAATATTAAAGAACGTGTATTTAGAAAAAATAAATTGCCTTTGACATTGCTGATGGGGAGAAAAAGCGATTGGATCCTTGTTTTGAAAATCTATGGATAAATCATCTAATTAAGTATTTATTTCATTAAGCAATATGGAAAACTATGTTTTTCCAAAAAATTATGTACGTTATATCTTTGATTGAGTGTTTAATAGAGAGTAAGAACAAGATGATGTAGGGCTTGAATATGTGCAATACCTATGGATTTGAAATCAATGGGAAAGCATGTTTTTAACGTTATTATATCTTTTATTATAAAACTTTAAAATACATTGTTTGGTCATATATTCATTAAAATAATCGTTATGATGCATTCATATTATATGGCATATTTTGCTAACAGTAAAAAATATATAATATAATTGTAACATTTATATTATACATTATGTATACTTTTAGCTTTATAAAAGTCATACTTTATAAATATCCCATACGCATAAAACAAATGTACCAACACTCAAGTCTCATCGACACTTATTCTAAAATGTTATTATTTGTTTTTATTTTTATTTTGCTTGGGTAACTTATTTTTTTGATGTTTAGTTTTAATGTGTCTCTGAAGCCATCCATATGCCTTAAATGATCTATGACAAATTTCACAATAACGAATTTGTCTCTCTTCTGCATGTACTGTTGAGATGTGCCTTTGAAGTTGATCTTTGTCGCCATAAGATTTTTGACAATCATGACACTTGAAATCTCTTAAGCGTAAATGCACTGCCATTATATGCCTTTGGATTTTATTTTTAGTTGCAAAACCCTTTTGACATAAGTCACAATCATAACGTTTAATACCCAAATGAGATATTACAGTATGCTTTTTTAACTCATTTTCTGTTACATATGCTTTTCCACATATATCGCACCTATGAGTTTTATCAGTGTGCATGAGTTTCCAGTGTCTATTACGGGCTTGACTGAATGTAAAAGTACTTGGACATTTCTTACATTTGTAAGCTTTAATGCACTGATGAACTGCGTTAATATGATCTCTGAGGATATGTTTAAAAGTAAATGCGGCTGGGCACTTATCACATTTGTAATCTTTCTTTTTTTTATGAACCATTAAAATATGACTTTGTAAGTTAGACCTTTGACCAAAATCCTTCTGACAATGTTTACATTTATAAAGCTTAACATTACGATGTATAATCTTATGAACTTTGTCTTTTTTCTGAATTTTGTTTTCTACGTTCAAAATGGATTGACAACTTTGATACTCAGTTTTGTGAATACTTGTCGATGAAGGCTTTTGTTCAAGTTTAAAATCACTGCACTCAAAATCTATAATTATATTTCTGTCTACGTCATTGCTCTGATTTTCATTTTCCACTTGCACAGTAGGTAGGAAAATTTGACGTTCAGTTTTGTAATCGGTTATTGATAAAGGCTTGAGATCAGGTTTGACGTCTTTGCACTCAAAATCTATGAAAATTCTTTCATCTATGTTTCCACTCTTTTTCTCGTGTTTTGCCTAAAATAAAAATTGTGTGATATTTTCTAATAGTCGATCAACAGAACATAATTTAAATCATTTAACTCACCGATAATTCATGGAACAGAAAAGCTTCAACATTTTCGGCTTCACAAGAGTCCCCCGAATCGCATTGATCGTCGTTCACATCGGGCCAGTTATCACTCGGCTCTTCCTTCACTCTGAAAAATAAATAAGTGTGATGAATCGATCGCTTCAAATAGTCCGGACGCTGCTGACATTTGAGTGAACTTGCGAGTTCACTAAAACCCGGACTAAAACAACAAAAAAAGTAATACCTGATTGGGTCCATTCCGCTTGCCATCACTCGCTCGATTGTTTGTAATTTAACTGTTAAATATTCACGACAATATTCTTTGAGAAAATACACGAGGTTGAAACCACGAGTAACTAACACTTTTCGGAAACACTTTCTCACTGGTAAATTCAAATTCTCACTGACGATTGAACGCCCCACGTGCTCGTGAGATTATCGAATAATTTTGACTTTCTGTTGACAATTAACAGCGCAGGCGCTCGTATACAGAGTCGGCTCGCGTCAGGCATCGTCATCAGTGTCAGCTAATCAGAGGTCATTTTACACGGCTCCACTTTTCGGCCGTTATCTTTTTTATAAGTTATTATAAGTTATTAAAAAAAAAAAAATAATAAAATAAGTAATAAAAAAAATATAAAAATGAATAAAATGAAAAAAAGAGAAAGAGATTAAGATTATTACTTTTACTTTCGAAAAATATCGTATGAAGTCGTTTTGTTCGTCAGCTCATTGGTCGACGAGTAACATCTCTTCGTTTCATGATTGGTTGACATTTTTGGTCATATTTTCCCGTCATTTTTGGTGCGAAAATTAAATGCAGCGTTAGTTTAAAAATTTAAATATTTACAAATTCATTTATTATTTCAAATTCTCAAATTTCCTAATTGAATTGTTGTAATTTTTATTTAATAATTATTTAATAAAAAAATAACCATCATACGTTCAAACTTTATCAAAAAAAAAAAAAAATTATATTAATAAATAAATAACACATTCGTTTAAAGTCTTTTCCATTCCTAGAATTGATATGGAGCTAGCATAACTTTTGAATAGAGGAACAAATCTAGATTGGGTCAAGTTACTTTAGTAGGTAATATTTGACGCAAGAGGCGTTGAAAATTAATTTTTTCAATAAACCTATTTTGTCGTAAAAGTACTTT